CCCATCGCCCCCACCAGATCCGCTACCCCTTCAGGGAGGGCAAGGCGAAGCCCCATGCGCTTTGGAACCAAATGTTCTAGCGTCTCACTCTCACTATGCCATGGCATACGGCACATAATGTGTCGATCTTTTGAAATTTAGCCCTCATTCTCACCTCGGATAACGAAGAACCTCTGCGTGAACTATGAAACACCCTTTTCCTTTCTTATGCCCTGTACATTGTTTGAGCTGATTTTTATTGCATTCTTCCCTCCCGCATTTTCCTTTCTGCCTCTTTCACTTCCTTTTACACTGAACTGGTTTGCTCAGCCGCATCACTAGTGTGCCGGTGTGTGCTCTCGGGATCGGTTTGTCTATTTTGTGTTTAAACTTTTCATCTATAAATTCTTGAAGACTTTCCAGGCCCACGGGGCATCACTCCTTTCGGTCGACCTTTCTTCAAAATTCAATTGACTGATTGCCTCTCTCCTCTTCTTTCAAAGGATGACTAGCCCGTGTCCCTCTGCACTGCCTCATTTGGTGTGTTCCCATGCGCTCCTATTGCTAACCTGCCCACGCTTCTTTGTCGAATTTCCAACCCTGATTGAACCTCTGATCTCATCCCCCCTTGCCAAAAGACAGTCCTGGCACAGATATAACGCTAAACTAGGGACGCCATAATTTTTTTTACGCCCAACGATAGAGCAGCACCACTGTACAGCCTTTGTCGGCTGTATTTTGCATCATTTCAAATGAAATAGTTCGTTTGTAAATAATTTGTGAATGTGTCTCTAAAACATGTTTGTTTGACGTGTTTCGTAATATATATAATATATATATTACATAGAAATTGCCTGTTGGAATTTTTAATATTCTGTGTACATGTCGTAAACCTTTCATTAAGTAAGTACAAAAAATCATTACTACGTGCAGGCTTCAGTGTGAAATTGACGGCTGTGCCAACAAGTACCATAGCGAATCCCATCTCGACGCCTCGAGCTTCGAAATTTTAGATCTCGGGAAGAAAAATAGCTCCGGCGTTGGCATATAGCAGGGGCCTCTTCCCAAGAACATGCCTTTAACGTATATTTTACGTAAGTATATATATAAAAAAAAATATGACCCGGATCATCATTGCACGATCTGACGCGGAAACGTACCTAGACCTTTCCAATAATCGTCTTCTGCGCGCTGCCCTCTTTTCACATTGGCGTGTTGAAGGCGTTTTGAGCGTGCGCAGTAGCTCTCAGTATTGGGAATAATAATAAAAAAATTTAAAAAATTGCTTTTGTTTTTAATAATGCGGGCTCAAAAACAACTTTTTTTTAAAATTAAAATTAAAAAAAAGTAAATTAAGGTGGTACTATACTTCATTTCACCTTATGATGTACCGCAGGGAAGGCTACAAGCGCGAGCTCCTTGCTCTCGGGCAGATCTTGGCGGCACAAGCTCTCGTGCGACTAGCCTTCGCTACGGTACAACATAAGGTGAAACGGAGTATAGTCGATAGCACATGTATAGGACTGCAGTTGTGCAGTATTTAGTAAGCAACATTTGTGATAAATTATGAGATACGAGGCTTTAAGTATGTCACCAAAACGTCAAAAATACAATGTTTGGCGCCGCGCAGCACACAGTTATAAGAAAAAATATTGTTAGTGTTTTCTTTTACCTATTTATAACAACCGACAGCACTGGACACAAAATTCAAGCAGCCGAAAAATATAGCATTTCCCAAAAAGTTTTTAAGAGCGGCTTTGTTCATTTTGGAAATGAATATATATATATATATATACATATATATATATATATTTTTTTTTTTTTTTTTTTTTTTTAAACCATTTTACTCTGGGATGGGCAAAATACATCCAAATATGTATCGAAATACAAATACAAAATACTTTGTCAAAAATGTATCTAATTACAAATCCAATTACATTTCCAAAAAAGCATTTAATTACAAGATACAAATACAACCAAATGTATTTGGTCTGCTCCAAATACTTTTTCAAATAGATTCCTGAAAATTTGCGTCAGCGACTTCAAAGCACCTGCAACGGGTTTCTGGGTATCTCATTTTAATTTTGTATCGCACACTCGGGAGTTAGTGTGCGAGGCTCTAGTAACGTAATAGAAATATAATCACAAAAAAATGTAATCAGCTTGGACGTAATAGGTGAAAAAAGTACAGAGCTTCAAGCAGCTTTTTTTTGTCGATTACATTTTGGTATAGACCAACAAAGAACTGAGACGACCAAGACGCGCAGCACAAGCTCTAGATTTTTTTATTGTTGCAATTCGCACCAGTTACGAAGATCTGGACGACCCGCGCATTTAAAATGTTCCAGGCAAAAATATGGATGGAAATCAGGCTGGAAAGCATCACAACTTGTCACGGGCACTTGTTTAGCCAGTCTGCCTGTGAACGTCGATTTCGTCACTATTCTTGACCTGGACTAGCACCGTAATCTCAAAGTCACTAAACGCTTCTGCTTGATTGAGAGACACTGCATTTGGTACAGAACGTAGTTTTCTTCCTGCTCTGGACAGTGCCTTTAAAATAAGGCCGTAGGAGAAAAAGAAAAAAGCCCCATGGCCGAATAAAGGATGGAGACTATATCTTACAACCACATGCATAAAAACAAGATGTATTTTCGCCCACAAAATTGTATTTAATTACAATTGTATTTGAAATACCCACGTTTTAGTATTTAAATACACACGCCAAATACATTACCCAATTTGTAATTAAATACAATTGCAAAATACACAAAGTATTTGAAATACGTATTTCAAATACTTGTATTTGAAATATTGCCCATCCCTGATTTTACTTATAAAAACCCTATACGGGTCGCACAAACCCGACTGACGCAGGTTGCATCGTGTTCATGTCTCATTCCTTAACAACTTACACCAAAAACATAACGGGCAAAACAGACGCAACAGATTGAAGCATTAAGTGCAAAACGAGCGTGTTGGTAACTGTAATTAGACATGAGGAAGATACACAGAAAGGGGGGACGGACAACGAAGACTTCCAACTAGCAACAACATTTATTGACCCGAAGTTTGCATATATAGGTGAAGGAGGGGAGGGTGAAAGACGCTACACTGGAAAGTGGGAAAGCGATGGGGGAGAGTGTAGAGCCAGGGAAATGAGGGGCGATCCCGTGGGGTAGATATCTAATCGCTCGGAGCCGCTGAAACGAGGGACGTCAGCTCTGGCCCCAGGAAGTTTATCTCCCTCCTGGATAAGCCTATGGACGGGGATCCGAAGTTGCTGCGACTGTAGTGCATGGCGAAGGCCTCCATGATCTCTCGTCCGTATCTTGAGGCGTGACCTCCAATCCTGGTGGTCGAGGGAAGGTCGGCCGAACAGGGTTCGCTGCACTCAGAGGTGTGTTTCGCAATCGGGTGGTAACAAATCTCCGAAGTGTCGGAGGCGGCTTTCTTGATCTCGTTTGCATGTTCCCTCACCCGATCGTTTAGGCATCGGCCCGTCTGTCCGATGTATTTAGCACCGCAGGACATGGGAATCGAATACACGCACTCTTTGCAGCAGGTTACATAATTGGTCTGGTGCTTTTTCTGGCACGGGGGCGCTGGACCGGGGTTGTTGACCTTTCTACAAATAGAAGCTAATTTGAACTTGCAGGAAAATACAACGTTCGGGTTGAAGCCGAGCGCAATAGATTTCAGGCGATGTGAGGTGTTGTGTATGTAGGGGATGCACGCAAAGCGTGCATCCCCTACACAGCTCACACTCAAGGAATGTAAAAAATGGGATCGTTCGAAATCTAGTTGCTTCGGCAAAGGTTAAATCCTGTCAGCACCTTTCCGCCCCCAGCCTATCCAAGCAGATTAGTCGCCTCATAAAGGCAGGATACCCGAGAGACCTGATTGAAACAACAATCAAAAGACTTGTCGCGGGGCAGAAGTCCAAACCCCTCCCTCCTAAGTCACGCTTTGCGTGCATCCCCTACATACACAACACCTCACATCGCCTGAAATCTATTGCGCTCGGCTTCAACCCGAACGTTGTATTTTCCTGCAAGTTCAAATTAGCTTCTATTTGTAGAAAGGTCAACAACCCCGGTCCAGCGCCCCCGTGCCAGAAAAAGCACCAGACCAATTATGTAACCTGCTGCAAAGAGTGCGTGTATTCGATTCCCATGTCCTGCGGTGCTAAATACATCGGACAGACGGGCCGATGCCTAAACGATCGGGTGAGGGAACATGCAAACGAGATCAAGAAAGCCGCCTCCGACACTTCGGAGATTTGTTACCACCCGATTGCGAAACACACCTCTGAGTGCAGCGAACCCTGTTCGGCCGACCTTCCCTCGACCACCAGGATTGGAGGTCACGCCTCAAGATACGGACGAGAGATCATGGAGGCCTTCGCCATGCACTACAGTCGCAGCAACTTCGGATCCCCGTCCATAGGCTTATCCAGGAGGGAGATAAACTTCCTGGGGCCAGAGCTGACGTCCCTCGTTTCAGCGGCTCCGAGCGATTAGATATCTACCCCACGGGATCGTCCCTCATTTCCCTGGCTCTACACTCTCCCCCATCGCTTTCCCACTTTCCAGTGTAGCGTCTTTCACCCTCCCCTCCTTCACCTATATATGCAAACTTCGGGTCAATAAATGTTGTTGCTAGTTGGAAGTCTTCGTTGTCCGTCCCCCCTTTCTGTGTATCTTCCTCATGTCTAATTAAAGATTGAAGCAGGTTAACACAACCACACGATCCGCATTCTACATTAGTGTGCTTTATACGAACTGTCGTGGTAAGTTATACTTTTTTTTTTAGTTTAATAATGATTAATAACACTCAAAGTTTATGCTTCGTCCCAGAAAGGTCATTTGGGAGAACAGTTGAACGTTCCCTATCGTGTGCTGGTCTTCGTTTTCTTTTTTTTTTTTTTAGTGTACTTTACATGCTTGGCAGTATTTAGTCCTGTGCATTTTTTAGTTGGCGACCACAGCACTACTAAGTGGCATATTCCTTCATTGCAGAGGAGACGGAGGCGGCAGCCAAGAAAGGACGATGTTCCCCTGACAGACTTTGTCCAGGTAACATTTTAACAGAACCCGGACATACCTACCTAAGCTGAGAAACTTTTCAGGGGACGATTGAAGGGGGTACCTTTTGATGCCCCTCCCGAGTGTTGGCTAAAGTACATCTAAAAATTACTTCAAGTACAAATTCAATGACAGCCTGAGAGGTGATGTACTTCAAGTAAAGTAGTAAGTACACCGGGCACAATGCACTTGAAGTACTATAAATGCAATGTATTTTCGAAGTAAAGTACAAGTACTATTTAACACAATATTTCATGAGTTCCATTTAACTTCCCTATATAGTGTCTTCTAAAACTGGTATGCCTTGCTCCAGGGGTAATCGGGGGTGCATCAGTTATTTTCTTAAATGGCGGCGAATATTGGATAAAGTCAAGTGACCACACGTTAGTTGTCTTCTTTCCCTGGCGAACTATTTAACTCGATCAAATTATTATGCAGTTATTTGTATCGGTCTTATAGCCGCCCTTACTTCGCTTAGAGACATGGCCAGATGACGTCTCGAAAGACGATAGCGCGTGCTTTCACATGACAATGTGCCAGATTATTATTATTTTTTTTTTTTTTGGTGAATATAAGTATTTTGTAGCCTGGAGTTGTACTTTCCACGGAAAGTACGAGACAAATACTTTAGGTAAGGTACAAGTACACACTCAGAGAATGTACTTAAGTACAACTTTTCTAAACCTACTTAAAGTACTTCCCAACACCGCCCCTCTTCAGCTTTATCTCTTTATAAGCCGCCATCATCTCAGTATTAAGATCTTTCTGTGATGGCTACGAAAGTCTGTAGTCCAGCAAGTTTCCCCGATTATGCGCCGAGCTGGGGAGGCTCCCCATAAAAGCGGAGACTGTAGGATGTCACACAATGGTAATTTACAAACGATCCTTCACGATTCCGTCTTGAATTTAGGTGGGCTTCCTCTCCAATGATCCTCACGAGAAGAAGCAATGCCCTGAGCAAGAGAAAAACGTTGGGCAGGAGAATTTCCACTCACTGGCGGGATGCGAACGGCAGTCAGGTCCAAACTAACACTTGGGTGTCTTGCGAGGCGATCACACTCAGCCAAATCACGACGGAATGCAACGAGCGCATGCTGGAGGCGTCCCCAAGAGACGCCGTGCTGGGCGAGCGTTGAAACAGCCACTCGGGTGTTGGGGCCAGCCAGGTAGCTGGATCGAGAGGGCTGCCTGCGAGATAGTGTCGGCGGCGGTGGCTCGGGGACACCTGGACGCGACACCGGCGACGCAGCAGGAGCTCGCCGGCAACAACGCGGCCGCCCGAGAGGCAGCCGCCAGTCTGGCGTCGTGTGTGCTGCGGGACAGCGAGGCACCGGTCTGTGTGGGAGGTCCGATGACTCGGCGGGCCACGCTGGTGCGGACTTTCCTGGTGCCCGCTGGGGCACGAGCACAACTGGGGGACATCCGCCAGCTCGCTGCCTTCTTGACGGGTGAGTTGGCCAGCACCGGGACGCCACTGAACAGTGGCAGCGCCAAATTAAACATACGCTGTGCGACACTGTTCGCGCAAACAAGCGGTCATCTTTTCTTCTTGAAATCGAAATGCTGTCGGCAAAACTACGATGGCAAGTGCTCATTTGTGGGGCTGTTTATACTCCGATGTAACGTGGACGAGTGCACGCGCCCAATCGCGTTCGCTGACGCTCGCATGCGCAACGCGACGTATACCGCAGCGTACGCCGGCGCGTGTCGGCGCAGCTCATGACGGGAGCATGCTCTGCTCGCGGTGGCTATCCCCCTCGCTCGAACCCCCCATGCATTCGGGAATCGGGATGTCGGTACCAGTCGGAGAGTGCGCTAATTTCTGCGATCGGAACCTGCCGTTCTTGCCGTGTCTCGTGTGGTCTGTTTTAATGCATTAGTGCCCTGGTGCATGCGCTGACCTTGGACGGTTTGGAGTATGGAAAGTTCGCAACGTCGCCACGGGATGGCGCAACAGCCCCACTGGTGAATGGCTAGTGGCGTAAGCTACCGCCCGATCCAAAGAGCTCAGCCGTATTCATCCATCCATCCATCCATGAAACACCTGCAAGCGGCCACAGATGACGGCGGGGTGCATATTTCGAGAGGATAGGCGATAGGACGCATAGCAACGGAAGCCGCACTGGATTGGCTGGTTATAGGGAGGGACACACTGGCGTAACACCTAGCAACCAAAGATCGCAGGCGACATCCCCCTTCGCGAATTTCGGCGCCGCACAGTGGGGGACGGCGGGTGTATCACTGAGGCAGGATAAGATAGTAGACAGGAAACAGCTCCAAAGCAGGCAGAAAGTATGCAGATATTGGACACTCATTTGCCAGTGGCGAGGGCACTTCTTCTGAGGTTTTGGCATTGAAGTATTGCTGTACCTCGCTTAAAACTTATGATTTCACTAATGAAGCCGTGGGACAAAAGTAGACCATTGAAAGTGCCTCCAAATAGGAGCCGGCCGTGTATCTTGTTGAGGAGGCAAAAAACTACCTGCACACTTAAACTGCTCCAATGTTACCACATAGAGGCTCAAAACATCTTGCTTTCCAACGAAGCTGTTACAGTTTCTCCTGAAATTGACATTGCACAGCATTCATGCACGTAACCAGGATTTTTTTTTTTTGGGGGAGGAGGAGGAGGAGGAGGAGGAGGAGGAGGAGGAGGAGGAGCGGGGAGGGGAGGGGTCCCATGACAAAATGCTCTATGAGGCGGAGGGGGGAGAGGAGGCGCCAGCAAAGTGGAAGATTTTTTTTTTCGGAGGGGGGGGGGGGGGGGGGGGGGCATGCCCCTTTCCCTGGATACGTGCTTGACACCATTAATAAGTCAGATATATTAGCTTGTTGATAATTCAAAAACAGTTATTGCACTAAGAATTGGGTTATTGCACTAAGAATTACCTGCAGAGTGCAGACCACTGTTCCAATAGAGCTCCAACTCGTTGACAAATGTGGATTTTACCTCAGCGGAATATCAAGTAATTTAGAGTGACATTTGGTGCCTCCACCATACTCGAAAACTATCACAGCTATCTCTAGCTTTAGAGTCGGTTCACGGGAAAACTTTAGAATAACAACGATAATAAGGATGTTTGCTTACTTTACTAGACAGTTTGTAATTATGGGTGACGCGTGAGGCTAGACAAAGAGAGAGAGAGAGACACTGAAGTGCCTTCTGAACGGCACCCAGGATTACGAAGAGACGCACACAATCGCAAACTGGCAATCCGCGAGTCACTCATCTCCGGTGTTCCGTCTGTCGTCTGGGTAGACTTAATCGTGAACCTGGCTTCAACTTGCACGATAACTTCCGAACGTCGATGACCAGGGGCCCTAACCTGGACACTTGGCGAAAACGTCGGTGAGAAATCTGGCGGCCGTGATTAGCGAACGCCGTATTTGCCGTTGGCGCCGGCCAATCAGAGCCGCCGGATGTTTCGCCGACTTTTTGATCAAGTGTCCAAATTAGGGCCCCAGGTATACCGGTGCCGCAGCGTGTTCAAGAACCGAGATCTGGCTGAAGTCCTACCTCCAAAAAGGTCGGCGATCGACGTCTATGTCATCGAGTTTGGGTTTTTCGATGGTCCCCACGCCTGGCACAAGCTGGCGCGCGCGACGACTTCGTGCTCGATATCTGAAAATTGGAACCCCCAAAAACCGAAACAAAACCAATTTCATAAATGTTATGGTAACCGTAACCGACCATTTATATTTTTCGGTTCGAGTCCTTCTGATTGATACCACGCACGAAGCGAAATTCGTCGCCTTTTTAAATCATATTCGCTCCAGCTGAGGCCAACGGCTGCGGCCAATGTGGCGTTATTATGACCGAATTTAATGCCGCCTCGCCAACTCGCCTATATCGCGACGTTAAGCTTTCCGGGCTTTTAGCCCGGAAAGTTTAACGTCGCGATTTAGGCGAGTTGGTTTGGCTGGCATATGCATTTTGCCCCTCTTTTGGGATCGCATACGCTTCCAATAATTCTCTGGTGGTTTTTATCTGTGCCCCTCCCGATGATGGTGATATTGTTGAATTTGGGCTGGCATTTACAAGCAGCGCAGCGCAGTGCAGAGCAAGTGACCCCCAGCGTTCGCGCGGAGTGACCAGTCATGTTCATGCGCTCTGTGCATGGTGTCTGTTCTTCCTATATGTCCCTGTCTTCAAAGCGCAATCATGTTTTCTAACGTACCCATACCAACTTGCCCAACAGTCAGCACTTGTCATTAATACATCGGCCACTTTGGCCGACGTACACTCTTCTGCAGCTTAGTGGGATCTTATATACCACACCAACCACACAATCAACATACTGGTCCCTGCGCTTTACGGCACATTGGCTCTTGCCCCCAGCATTTTCCGCGATTTTAGGGCAGAGTTGCGCCAAGTTTCGAGGTGTCGAAAACACACTGAGAACGTCAAACCGCCCGGCTACCTTTTTTCGAATTGTGCGAGATTTTGTGTTTACGCCAAATCTGTGTAATGGAGTCGCCGACAAGCCAATGATGATGATGTAAACTTTTATTTGAATATCGCTCGCGAGCTCCCAAGTCCGAAGCGACCGAGAACCACCGTTCGCGCGGAGCCCGAGATAAAACATCCGTTCCCCCGCTTCGCGCGTAACCCGAGCGCCCCGTACCAGAGGCGTCGTTCTTTTATTTCGTTTTACCTATAATAAACGAGACGACAGTCTTCAGCCTGACTCCGGCACGAAAGGTTGTCTTTGTCTTCTCTTCGCCAAAGAATGTAAAACGAAACAATCTGTAGATAAACTGAAATGCACGCGAGGAGAGATCGGCCGTCGGCTGATGTTCGCGTCTTTACACATCGCAACTGCATACATCGCCGATCGCGGCTCACTTCACGTATTTATAGCAATTAATTTGTCAGGAAGTTCGAAAATGAAAGCGGAAGAAACATATTGCCGTAGAAAGTCGTCCTGACTGTTTGCGTGCAATAGTCGGCGTAAACACATCGGCACTGTTTCGCATGTTGCTCACAGAAACGTTAAACACCAATATCGGGTCGGTCGGTCGGTACACGGCAGCGATGAACGCCCTTCCGACCAGGAGGCAATCAACATTATCCTTTATCAACGAGAAAGCATCAACAACTGAATAAGGGTTACTCTTTTTAACATATACTATGAGGATTTCCCCACCTCCCTTATTGTCCCTCGCTGGCACAACGTTGGTTATATTTGCGCAACCACGTTTCGGTAAAAATAATCGAGAAAGCGAATAAACAAATATATAAGTGCGTCTGCTTTGCCGTTAATACTTCTTGCGTTTATATATTAATAGCTGAGAACGCAGATGGGAAGTGTCTTTTAGTCTCATTAAAATATTCTCGTACCCCCACGGCTTATTTTGTTCCCCTGTATTTAAAAGACCCAATTTCTTCAGTTTCCTTCCTACACCATTTTTGCTACGTCGGCTAGGGTAGCAATCCTCAAGATATCCGAGCCGTCGGTCATGCGTGCTTGAAACTTTCTGCCAAACAAATTTCCATCCGTCTTTTTTTTTTTTTTTTTTTATTCGCACATTTCGGTTGGTTTTCGATGGCAAGGGGCCATTTGTTTCCTTTGATGTGAACAATTTTGTTTTCGTTTGTCCCGCGTTCCCGGAGGGAGTGCATTTATAAAGGCTGTTTCCGCGCTGTGCGTGTGCGCGGCTAAAGAAAACAAAAAAACAAAAAAAAAACAAAAAAACGGAAGGGTCAGGCTAGAGTAGCTGTATAGGCTCTGCTTGCATATACAGTTACTCTAGGTCAGGCGAGCCGGTTACCTTTTAACAGAGAGAGAGAGAAAAAAGTACTGGTATTTGTTTTTTTATTTTTTTGTTTGTCCTTGGCTATTTCTGATTACTAAATGAAAGAGGGGGAGGGGGCGCTACAACAGCCACGTGCGCACGTCAGGGGGGGATACTTTCTACTTACGGGTGTTGTACACTCCCGGAACTCCGCAGTTTGTAAACTGCGCAGTGCGTGACTCTATAAATAAACCAGGACATGTACGCGTTACGTGAGTGGAGAGAAATGATTGCCACACATGTTACGGAATAAAATGTCCGTCCGTCGGGGTGGGGCCGGTGATGAAACCGGCAATTCCCCATCGACGACATTCTAGGGACGACGTGGCGGCGCCCTCAGCTCTGGGGACTCCCGGTTTGCATAGGGAGATCTGCGCCTTCAGTCTCGTTTGTTTTGATTCCGCAGAAAGTCTTGCTCGCGCATCCTGTCTGTACGCGGGCGGCGAGGGGAATGGTTCGCGCAATTTCATAACGGCTGTCGGATGCTCAACAGGGTCGTACGACTTCATCCTGGTGGACCCTCCCTGGGAAAACAAGTCTGCGAAGCGCAAGCGCAGCTACGCGACGCTGAGCCGAGACGAGCTGCTGCTCGCGCTGCCTTTGTCTCGCCTGGCGTGCCCGGAAGGCTGCCTGGTTGCTGTGTGGTGTACCTTCAATGCGGCCCACCTGGACTTCGTGGTGCGGCGCTTGCTGCCCTCCTGGGGCTTGCCCTACCTGACCACCTGGTACTGGGTCAAGGTGAGCGCGCTCTGCCTTTTTGTCGTGCTCGTCAGACGCGTCTTCTGTTGCAGGTGACGAAGCACGGCGAAGCGGTGCGGCCATTCCACTGCCCGCACAAAAAGCCGGTCGAGCTGCTCGTGTTCGGCGGATCCGCGGCGGAGGCCTTGCCGCGGGACAAGGTGCTCGTGTCCGTGCCATCCAGCGTGCACTCGCACAAGCCGCCGCTGTCGGGTGAGCCGCACCGTGGGGCTGCATCCACCAGTAGCGTAGCCAGGAATTTATTTCGGAAAGGGGGGGGGGGGGGGGGGGGGGGGGGGGGGGGGTCATTAAGCGGTGCCATCCCCCCGTCCCCCGCTACGCCACTGGTACTCACCCGCTGGGCTGTAGGGAAACAGCCGTGGCTGTATATCCTTCTGCATTTTGTGCTGAGCAACGTTACTAGAACCACTCAGTTGGGAAACTGCCACAGAGCCTGCTCTGAAAATGTGGCGCCGATCCTTATCCCAGTACCGAGCTAATGGCGATGGCAACGCTGCCATTTCTCCTGCAGCGGCTACAGGGTGTTTTCAGTGACATTTCGTCCACCATTTTGTTGTTTAGAGCTGTCTGGCGTGTGTCGAAGGCGAGCATTTCAAGGATTTACATGATCCCTCATATGTGTAGAGCATAGAAGCTTATAGGTCTTACCACGTTAACAGGTCGCGATGCAATCTTTCAAACTAGTAAATTTGTTTGACAAAAACAAACTAACTACAAAATGGTGGATTGACGTCATGTGGAAACACCCTACTCCGTGAACTACATGACTGCACTTACTGGTTCCGTCTAGTCACGGAATGCCCGGGCTGGTGGCGCCATCTCGCTTGCTTGCTGTATATTTTTGGGTCTCTGCCATGCTGGCAAATGTTCTCGCTTTAAGCTTTCTGTAGGCAATAAGCCAATGTATTGAGGAATGATCTTCAATAAACAATTTAGCCATATCAAGCCACTTTCATGTTTAACTCGTCGCTAAAGGGTGGCGCTGTTATCATATTTAGCTCGGTCTCGGTGGACTCCAGTGGCCCAGGTTTCAAGGGCGAGTTTCCCAACTGAGTGTTTTAGTAACGTTGGTGCTGACTAAGCACTCGCCCCGTATTATTTTTGCATTCAGTTTCATACAAATAGTTCTCTGTGGATGGATGTTAATCGCTATGCCCTTTGTAACGGCGGTAGTTTGCGCCATTTAGCCTAAGTCTAAAAAGACAAACACATATGATTCTTCCCACACTTCTAAGACCAAGTTTCTCCCCCTAACTATCACCAGGATGACCTTGGGGGATCGGGCAAAAAATACTAAAAACATCACCCCCCTGCCTCTTTCCCCCGGCGAGGTAGTTGCTAATTTTCCTCTGGTCAAACCTTGTCAGCATTACCTCAGCACCGGACCGTTGGGAGACAGGGTTGAGACTTTGGGCTGGAGCCATGCGGGAGGGAGTCCCAATTTTCCTCTCTCTCGCCTGTCCCCAGCTGTGCTAGTTAGTTGTCCGTCATTCAGTTTTCTCTGGATAATTTCCACCAATCTTCTTTTTGCCTCTTTGTCACTGTAATCCTTTTCTCTTTTGTCCTTCCATTGCCAGTAAAACCCAGGGCCCCGGCCAAATCCTTACCCCTTCAGGGAGGGCAGGGTGAAGTCCTGTGCACTTCAAAACCAAGTGCTCTATTGTCTCGCTATCATTATGGCAGGCGGCACATAATGTGTCTGTCTCCTGAAATTTATCTCTATATGTCCTCGTCCTCAAAACTCCCGTTCTCGCCTCGAACAGCAAAGAACTTCCCAGTGAATTGTCAAACTCATTTTCCTTTCTTATGTCCTGTTTTCGTGACCTGTACACTGTTAGAGCTGATCTCTTCTGCATTCTTCCCTCCACCTGTGATGCTACCAAATGTTGCTCCTATATTTCTGGATAGAACATTCCAACTGGAGGCTTTGAAAAACGCAGAGAAGATGGGCAAGCGGCAAACTTTAATCCTGTCTCAAATCGAAAAAAAGGGGGGGGGGGACGAATTCAGATTTGCAGGTTTCACTTATCAAATTAACGAAGGGCATCTGGAATGCCCCAGTGGAGGACTGAGGATTCATTTCGCACACCTAGGGATCTTTTGACATGAAACCGAAAGCTTCTCTGCAACTTTTTTACACATGTGGAAATTACTTTGTTACTACTAGCATGAGGTTTGAACCAATGGTTAATTATGAACACTCTGTGACACCCGTTTCATTTCTTCTTTTTTAGAACTGATCAAACCTTTTGTTAAGACTAGTGCCAAGTGCTTAGAGCTGTTTGCAAGATACCTGGTTCCTGGATGGACGAGTATAGGAAACGAAGTAAGATTCTAGAAAACATTTTCCCAACATTAAACTAAAGGTATGCCTTCCATATTTTTCAGGTACTCAAGCTGCAACACTTGGCCCTCTACGAACCTGTCAGTTCCTGAAAACCGATTGTCACATGCCTTTTTATTCTTTGGCCATGGTTTTATTAAGATCAATAAACACTTGCTTTGGCCACATATTTTCCATAGGAAAATTAGTTTTGCTGTGCATAATTTGCGTGCATGAATTATGAATTCCCTATACTCTACAGATCACGGAGACTTCTTGCCTCGACATCATTTTCAAGATTTTTTTTTTCATCTGTGTGCAGCTGAAAGTTAAGATTGGACATGTAGACGTGGATTTTGTGTTTCAGCCTTTTACATTTGTGGCAACCACCCATACTAGCAGCTTGGGTAAGGAACAGTTTTTTTAGAGTTTCAGCTATCATGGTAAAAGCATTTGTGCAATGAATGGATCTCTCTCAGCTTGTCATCAGGAGCCGTGTTCGAGGGAAGTTCTGCACATGCACACGTCTGCTTCTGCCTGGCTGTGGGCAAGCGTTTGTCATTGCCAGTGTATGTTACAATTTTTCCAAATGCTGGGGATGCAATCAGCAAGCCAGTGAAGAATGATTCTCTAATAACAACGTAGAAATGTTCAAACAAACATTTACATCTATATCAAGATGACTAGGCTCGGCAGCTACTATACTCAGTTTCACCATAATATGGCAAAGGCATGCAGGTTCGGCCCCAGTGAGCCTGTCTGCATGTCAGAGAGAGGCATGTGACAAGATGTCAATGGAGTGCTCTCTTCCTGCGGAGAGTTCATATGTAATGAACAAGTAAAATTCCCACACTCAAACAAGGCTAGAAGAATGCGAAAATCTTACGCTTAGAGTTCTATTGATTCTCGAACATGCCTGGGCCAGCGAGCACAGCTACGGGGATATGACTCGTGCAAGCAGCCCACTAAACACTTGGCCCTCGCCCACACATACGAGCAAAAAAGGGGGTGCTTCAGCAGAGGAAATAGTAGAAAAATGAAAGTACTTCCAGGGGAAAAGAAATCAGCGGCATATGCTTTGGTCCAGCACAAGATTGGAAGAAGCGAAATGGACAAGGGTAAATTAACCGAAATGATAGAAATGCAGCCAAGAAGGTTGTTATGTATGCACAATATTTCATAATCATGAGTAACGCAACAGTAGTTATCCAGCAGTTCACAGATTATATCTTCTTTCATTAGAAAGGTCACTCCTCCCCGTTTGGCAACGCGATGTAAGTAGTAAGAATGGCACGGGGGGTAAATGAAGTACGTCCGACTCATACGCGTATACCAGGTTTCGGTAAGCATAATTGTATCAAATAACATATCATACTGATCAAAAAACATGTCTAGTTCGGTAGCCTTATTTTTGGCCGACTGGGCATTTAACTGAACCCAGATGACTAAGTTTTGCGGAAGTACGAGGTAATAGGGAGTTTTCGTAGATCGTTTTCGCCGTCCCGCAAGGCCCTCCGCAATCCGCTACGATAGCGGAAACTCCAGTCAAGGCTATCGGCGCGCAGGCGCAGTAGCAACTTCTTCGTTGCGGAACGCTTAGCGGAGGGGGCAACGCGGTCTACGAAAACTCCCTAATTAGAAAAGGCAACGCAATTTTAAGCGTAAACTCGGCACAATCGTGAAAATTGTGCCACCTCTTTTCCGTTCATTGTACCATTTGCAACGTACTCGTTTTCTCCTCCCCCCCCCAAAAAAAAAAAAAAAAAAAAACACTTGATCCACGATTTTGGGTTTCGCAGCGCGAGCTTTCGCTCCACGGTTGCTCCGAGCTGGGGCCCTAATCTGGCCACTTAGCAAAAAAGTCGGCGAGAAATCTGGCGGCTGTGATTGGCCGACACCGCACTTGACCTTGGCGCCGGCCAATCATAGCCGTCAGATTTCTCGCCAAGTGTCCAGATTAGGGCCCCTGGTGTGCGCTAGCCCACTCGGCCACCGATCCCCCTTGCAAACGTTATCACTAAACTACGCTATTTTTTTTTATGAGCTACGTTAGAGCCACCGTGGTTAGGGCGCAAATAACCCATTCGTTGTGTTCTTGGAGTACCAGATGCCCACTGCTCGCGCTCGCGGGGAAAAAAAAAAAAGTCGACAACAAAATGTTGTATAGCACTGTCAATGCCAAGAGCTCGCGGAAGGGGACGCGCGTTCACGCACTTCGGGACAAAAAAGAAAGAAAACGGTTCTGAATAAAACGGTCAGTTATCTGTTTTACAGCGAAACTGTTTATGGCTATACTCTGTTTCATACTTAGCGTGCAGCGCTGTCAAAGCTACTGGCGCGAGCGCGTGGCTTCATCTATGGTTTTGTTTGCGCGAGAACTCGTGCAAATGATCAACGAGATCAAGCCCCACGCTCACGCCAGTAGCTTAGACAGCGTAGCACGCTAAGTATGAAACAGCATAGGGTTCCGTGGATTTTTCATGTGCGTGATCAGAACCTCTACGCTCGCACCGCCGCACGTGCACGCGCACGCCTTCCCCGTAAAAAAGATTCGAAGCAAAATAAAGCGTTGACGAACGCGCGTGCAAGATGCCATTTGTTTGATGCTTTTGGTTTAGAACAGTTCCTACTGCAGACGCCGGTACGTGCTGTGCGTAGAACACCATTCCCTGCATTCTCCTTGATGCTTGGGTAATTTAGCGATGGGTCTATTTCACTTCTCTCATCGTACTGGGAAGGCTTCTGTCCACAGGGCGGGCTGATAGTGTAGCGAGCGCCACTGAGCGCACGTTCTGAGAAAAGACGTCAGGCGTCCTAGGAAGCTTGTCAACGGACTTTGATCTAGTAGCGTTGGTTTTAAACGTCGTCAGCACCTGTCATCTGTACACAGACACTATCTCATCACATCATTATTAGATGCGACGCCGCAGACATCCATTGTATGGGCTACTTTCCTTTCTGCGGTGCCGCGGCTCTCCTGAACCAAAATAACGTGCTAATATCAAGAGCGATATTGTGCGGAAAGTGTATAAAATCCCATGCCTTCAGATTTTGGTGTTACACCTGCGTCAGAGAGCATGAAGAACTCCGAAATCGTCGGCAAGCAGCTACACACCACGACTGCCGCGCACCAAACCAACTCGTATCAACGGGCTCTGGGCGCTGCCATCTTACCCATGTGACTGTGTCCAACATCACCTGTATCACCCTCGGGCCACGTGGGCGCGTGGGGACACGGCTCTGGTGTGGACCAGTGGGGACAGTGGCTTAGGCAAGGGGGGGGGGGGGGGGGGGGGGGGGGGGGGGGTTCGGGTGGTTCGTGGTCAAACCCCCCCCCCCCAAAAAAAAAAAAAAAAAAAAATGCCGAAGTTATTTCTTCCCCGGTGGGCCCGCTCGCTACCCTGCTAACGCAGTCGGTCTTGCACGGGGCAAAGCTGGAGCGCGGACTGTCTCCAACTTCTATGCTTTAGGGAGAAATGTTTGTGGGTAGAAAATGCTCAAATGAATAAAATTGTCAATATTTCTTCATTCATGCTTATTTGATGGGATGTGGAACTTGATCTCAGATATATAGAGAACGGATATTTCAAAACATTTTTAGTGTGAAGGATGGCAATTTCAAGGCAAAATATAACAAACTATGCTCACTGAAATGCATAGTTGAATCAAACTAAAGTGGACATAATACTACAAAACAATGTCAGTGATGTAAGGAATATTAAATGAATTTTAAAAACAATTGCACTGTAAGCAACGGGTGGCGCTGAGCTCATGCACACCTTGTGTACTGGTCAGAATTACGTGCTTTCGACTCGAAATTACCGCGAACAAAAAAGTAACTGGGACTAGTTATTTCAAAAAGCAATTTGCAGGCCCTCTTGATCATTTCATTTATGCCAATCGCTTAAGATGCAGCCTCCTGCGTTCACGGGTTGTCCACCGCTTGAACTTCAATGTTGCAGTGAACATTCAAAAGCGCTAAACCGAGCAGTCACTCATTCGAAGTGGACGCTCTCAGGTATGTTTTCAACCGTCGTTGTGAAGAGAACGAGCGCTCAGCTTCCGCCGTTGTTACGCGCAGAGTCACTATATGATCTTGAGGAGACTATAGACGTTGGGTGATCGGAAGTCAGAAAAAAAAAATAAAGTTTCAGAATCGCACTTAGTGGCAGAGCGTTCAAACCCTAGAAATGCTGAGAAACCTAAACTCAAGATACTTGACGCTACCAATATGGCCACATGCACAGTGCTGCCAGACCACCAAGCAGTTTCGCATATCGTCTATTGCGGTAAGAAGTAAGTGCAGGCCTCAAAAGACTTAAGTTTGAAGGTTGGTTGGGGTAAGTAGGCTCGTTGTAAGCAGATAGATACGAGGAGGTGTTGATAATTGTTACCAGCGGCCATCAGCGACTTGTTATGCCTGATTCACTGGGTCCGATTCTGCTTGCGATTTTCAATATCGACTTCGACCATCTCAGCTACGGTTCACGCTTTTGCAGCCCGAGGGACGTCATGATTGAAAATAGCGAGCAGAATCTCATCGTGCGAATCAGGCTTTTGCGTCCATTCTGCGGCGTCCACGCGGAATTAATCGCCGCATGCCACCTTATTCACGCGAAGTTTTGCAGTGTAACGAGCTCATTTAATTTCGCTGAGGCCGCTAAAGTAGTCAGACATTGCGAGGAAGACATAGAATTAGCAATTACAACACGAAAAAGAGCTCGGGACTCACACCGACGCCGACAACATCGCATTCCAATGGTTTGTTTATGGGCGACGTCGAGCTTCTTGCCCACACTCCATCGCGCATGCGCGGCGCCGGTAAAAAAGTTCTTGCAGGGCCCCTTTAAAGTTGGTGGGCCGCAACTACGACCACAGAGAACAGTGAGCCACCACGCCCTTATTCCTGTAAATGAAGCCTGCTCCCTTTTCAAAAAAGGACAAAGCAGCTTTGCCCGTTTTATCTTAACGACGCCTCGGTAATCTTTGCGTGAGCGTTCGTCCCGCCGAGCTCACCCTGCTTCGTCATTGGGGGGGGGGGGGGGGGGAGTTCATGCCATTGGACCCCCCCCCCCCCCCCCCCTTCCCCTGAAATAAAATCCTGGCTACGCCACTGAGTGCCAGGTGGGGACTAGGGGTGTCGTGAACCTGCAGAGGTTCGAGGTCGACGAGGTTCGGCTTTTCCGAACTTATGAAAAGTCGACA